TCCTCCCCCATTTAACTGAGTTTTTGCTGCTATTTTTAATTGGACTTCACTGAAGCCAAACTGTTGGGTTTATTTGCGTTCTGTACATTTTTGTTGCACAATAAAGGCTGCATCTCACCTGCATCTTTTGGACTATACAGAAATACCTGCCTACTGAACAGGGAGAAAAACCTCACTCTGCGAAGTATCATTTTGTATTATTTTTTTTATCCTTCCCCTAAAAGAGTGAACTGAAAACTTTGTGGAGAACGGAAAAAAACCAAAACCAAAAACCAAAACCAACCTCTAAGGTTTTTTTTTGTTTTTGTTATTTTCCTGTGGAGGGTTTCTTTTTCTAAAAGGTAAGTTATTCATTTTTTTTCCCCACTCCTCTGTAGAGATACGGGGGTGAGATTATTGCAGAAAACCTTTTAAAAAATTAAGTAAATTTTATCAAATGGCAAGTATTATGAGCTGCTGAAACACAGGCTCAAGCAAAGGGTAATCGGACCAAAAACCCCTAGGTCTTTACAGCAATCCTTTAGCAAAGATTTTTCTAGGGATCTGTAATTAAACTGGATAGTTTACACTGGAAATGAAGAAATTGCTTGGCTGGCTGGAACCAACCTTTAGCTTGGCTGAGTAAACAAAAGCACAATTTCTTTTCTTTTCACTTTTTGTGTGCGTGCGTATGGGGAGGGCGTGAGCAGGGGAAAACAGGGGATTTCGTGAGGGTTAATGGTGTTTTTCGCAAAAGTGTCAGGAGAAGATGATTAAATTCCACCTCTTGTTCACCAGATCACTTTTGTGTGCACTTGTATATTTCATTGTCGGCAACCGCTGATGATCACATCTGTGCAGTACATTAAGTGGCAAGCCTCTTCATCTGCACGATTTTTTTCTGATGATTTTTTTTCTGTGAATAATTCATATGATTATGAGGAGAAAAACTGCTATTTTCTATCTCTCTTTCTCTCTTCTGTAGCACAGATTAAAAAAAAATCTTGCTGTAAATTGCATGATTGGGGAGATAGCCTGCTTTCAAATAATTTAATTCATGACAAAACCTAATTACTGTCAGGTAATACCCTGTCAGCTTTAATGCATTTCATCAGTCATAATGAAAAGAAGAGCATTTTATGACCCATCTAATTATCATTACATTTTAGGGGGAAATGAATGGCATGGAGCTGAATGTTAACTATTCCATTTTATTCCTTTACACATGTGGTTTGGCATATTATTCAGTAAGTTTTTTTCTTTCTATTTTTTTTTTTTTTTTCAGAAGGATCCTTGATTGGTGGGGGGAGTATAAAGAGGGGTGGAAGATGCAATTAGATCTGGGTGTTTGTTCCTTTCTCTTTCCCGCACACGCACATGCACACGCATCCACACACACGAAGTGACAAAGTGGTTAATGTCTTTGCAGGTTGGTGTTGACATCAGGTATCTTATTGCCACAGTCCAAATAGAGTACTAATTACTGCGAATGATGTCACCGTAGGCAGAGGAATAATCCCATCATTTAATTAGTTGAATGATTTAAACAAAGATTTGCATAGATGCACTAATCAGTTGCCATGAATTACAGAGCAGCAGTTGCCAGCGAGGGGTAACAGATCATACAGTTGGAGGGAAAAAAAATCTCATCTCCTTGAACATAATTAATTTAATTGTCCTCATTAGCTGTACCATTTGTTTTGATTTTATTTCTCCCTTTCCCCACACATAACTTCTCCCTCCCTCTTTTCTTCCCCTTCTCTGAGTACATTGGTTGAGAGAGGCACACGCACACACACACTGCTGTATTTTCAGAGTGGTTGTGGCAGAGGTAGTCTACAAACAGAGGGAAGTGAGGATCTCCTGAGCGTATGGGTACAGGCAGGAGGGAAGCAGGTTTCTGTCAAGTTTTGCTTTTCTCCATGTGCAGATCAAATCAGCAGCAAGGGGCTCTGTTAGTCTGCTACCTCTGATTGTGCTTTTCGGGTTCTTGCTCAGGTTGGTTGTGGCTGAGTTTTGTTACTACTTTGAGGGAGAGGGGGGCAAATCAAGAATTGTGTCACTGCACAGTGTGCTCGTTCCGGGAATCTTAATATTATATATGTATGTAAAAATGTAGAGGAGCTTAGTTTGAGGTGGGGAAGGGGGTAACCTGTCCTAAAGAGATGCATTTCTGAGGTTGCTTTGATTTTTAGTAAAAAGACCGGATTACGGGAGGGAGGGGTGCAGATGGCAAAGCACTTCAATGCTTTTAAATCTTTCTTGGGTCTTGAAAGACTTCTATAATATGAATGTCATTCAAATTTAGGGTATATTGTAAGCTGACATCTTTCAAAGCTTTGTGGAAATCTAGCGTGGTGCTTCTAATAGCAGACAACAGATATTCACTTTGAAGTCTGAAAACTGTGTTCACAAATTCTTAATCTGGTCTTTCTCCAACTGCAGATGGCTCTGAGAGGAAGATGCTTTGGATTTTTTTAACTTTATTTACAGTAGGCTAGGCTCAACATCTTTATTATAAAACATGAAGAAACAATCATCTGCGAGCGTGACTCAATATCAAAGCATGCCTATCTCTTCTGTGTTTGCACGTCTGTCTGTCTGTCTCTTGGTCAAAGCTCTTCAACACCTACAGCACATCCGCGTCTATTATTTTTCCCCCTCCACCACTAGGTAAAGAACAAGGCTCTGTCCTCAGCTTTTGGGGTGAGGATCCCGCAGGGGGAAACCAGCTTGCCTGCCTTCAGCTCAGAAAGTGTGGGCAGGGAGGTGGCATGGGTGAGCGATGCCCAGCACGTGTCCGGGCCAGGGGCAATGGGAGTGGGGAGCCCGCGGGGAGCAGCAAACTTTGACGCAGGAGTTTGCGCTCCTCTCTGAGCAGCCCACATCCAGCACTATGAGAGGATGCGTTTTCACCTTCAGGGTTTTTTTTCTCATTACTCATTAATAGAGAGATGCGTATCTTGCCTTTTTTATTATTATTATTATTTTTTTTTTCTTTTCCTTTTGCGTAGGCAACTTATTGTTTTGTTTAGGCAAAGTATTTGGGGCGGAGTGATGCGGGGGCACGCTCCCTGCTTCCCCGGCTCTGTTTCTGGAGCGCTCCCTGGGAAGGTGATCCTGAGCCGCTTCGGTAGAGGTCACTTGTGTGTGTGCGTGTGTGTGTGTCCCTGGTGTTTGTGTCTAGCATATGCATGTGGTTTTGCTGACTGCACTTGCAGGCTTGTAAATTTTCACCATGGGAAATTACCAACAAAGCCCAATCTGTCTCCTGGCTGCTTTGCACTTTCTGAGGGCGGCTGTACTTGAGCGAGCTGCAGAACGAGAGAGAAAGAGAGAGGGAGAGAAAGGGGGAGCGGGGAGGGGGGAGAGAGGAAGGGTGGGTGGGTGGAGGGGGAGAGAGGTAAATAGCCTTAAATCGGAAGGGAGCTGCTTCTCTGTGGTCTTCCACAAGAGCTGCCTGGGCTCTGCTGGCTCAGTAATAACTGAGTGACCTTTTCTTTTGCTGTATTATGTCTGGCTGGTAAGGGATTGCATTTTGCAGCTGATAAAGCCCTGACTTCATTCAACTCGGCTCCTCACACGCTGCTTTAGGTAAGTTGTCTTCAGCCAGGACGGAGACAGACAGCCTTGGACTGCAAGATACTAAAAGGAGGACACCTGTAGCTCGGATGCGGTCAACACAATTACTTGGCGGATCCTTGAGGACCTCATTATTTTAAACTTAAAGAATAGCGATCTCCCCCCCCATCTCTCCCACCCCCCCTTTATTTTTTTTCCCCAAACAATGCTTCTTTTTGACCTTTCCCAAGGAGAAGAGCTACAAAGCAGCCACTGTGCTTATTGAACTGCCTCCCCTCTATCGCTTAATTGAGAAGGTAAGTGAGGCAACTGTGTACATAAGCTTTGGGTCATTTGTGTATGTGTGTCTGCATCACTCTCTCTCTCTCCCTCTCCCTCTCTCTCTCTCTGAGTCATAAGCCGGGGCTGCAATCCATACACACATCCCTGCACTGCAACTTTCGCTCGAGCTGCAGCTCTGCTGAGACTGTTTTGTTTAAATCATGTGAGGCTTCATTATTTTTATGATGAGACATGAAATACATGCAAGCGGAGGATGCTGAGCGAAACCCATCTAACTGGATGTCTCGAGAAATAGCACTCAAAGTTAACAATGAATTGCAGCAGTCCCCCCTACCTCTCCCCCCACCCCCCCCTCCGCCTCCGTTATTATTGTTATTATTATTCTTGCTTCTTCCAGAGCCGCTCGAAACGTGCTCTCAATTACCAAGGGAGTAGCTTAATTTCCCACTCCCCGGCTCTAATCCGCCAGCCTCCCCGTACAGCAGTTTCATTTGCAGCCGGCTCGGCGCAGGGTTAACCCTTTGGGCAGCGCGGCGGCGGCGGCGGCGGCGGCCCGGAGGCGGCGGGGGAGCGCCGGGCAGCCCCCACCGGCCGCGGGTTACTCGGCAGGAGTCAGCGCTCCGCGTGGGAGCCTTTCGGGGTGGGGGGGCTTTTTGGCTTCCTCTTTTCCCTCTTCGCTCCCGGCGCGGCGTGTGACAACGTGACAGCTCCGTCGGTTCCGACAAAGCCGCCCACCGGCGCAGCGCCGGGACCCGGCGCCGAGGGGTGCCCGGGGACAGCGTGCGGCCGTGCCCCGCCGCCCTCCCCCCGCCCCGCGCCGGGGGAGCGAGCGCTCGTTGCTCGGGCCGGGCCTCGGTGCTTCCGTCAGGAGGAGCTCCGCGGGCGCCCGTACAGCGACTCATGCAGAAAAAGGAGAAAAGTTTTGGTAAGGCTGCTGGTGCGCTGGCTCAGTTCGCAGGAAGGTAGGGCCGGGGCGGGGAGAGGGGCGAGCGCGGTTCCCTCTGCTCTTCTCTCCCGCCAGCGTTCGCGTGTGCAGCGAGGAGACCCCCGTGCCCCCGGCTAGAGAGCCGCGCAGGACCGCCGGTGACAGCGGTGAAGCCGGCCAGGTGCAGCCAACCTCGCTGCGCGCATCCCCACGCCTCCCTCTGCCCCCACCGCCCCATCCCTGCTGATGCTTGGGAAAAGGAATTAGCACAAAAGGCTCGAGCGTCCGGCTCCGAAAGGGAGTCTTTGTTGTAGAGTGTATGTTTCTTATTTATTTTTTTATTTTGCATGTGAGCTGCATCAAAATTGAACTCAGTCTTGCAAATCTCTTGTTGGCCTTTGCCAAGCACTAGCACTTTGCTGCCATGGTAACTGTAATTAAACTGATAAGAGTGGAAAAATGTCAGTATCTCTGAGCCTTGCAGCTGCATTGGAGAAAAAGGGAATCAAATTGGTTCCCAGCACCACTGCTCTAAAAAAGGAGGGAGGGAGTGGGGAGAGCTGGGGGGGGGGGGGGGCCCCCCAGGGGTAGGAACATAGCTAAGCAGCTCCGTCCCTGAGATCTGGGTACATCTATTTGCTGTGATGTCCCTTAGGGGGCTACAGCCTGCAGGGATGCTCTGGGCCAGTGAACAGAGAGAAACAAGCTTTTAGGCCCAATCTCGCTTTCAAAAAGAGAAGGGGAAAGAAGAGGAGAAATCTTTTGTTTGGTGTCTCTTGGCAATCGACTAGCCATGTTGGCTAAATTCTTTTAATCTGTATCACTGCTCCCAGCTGTGGGACTGCATAACCATTTTTAGTTTTCACCTAGCCTCCTCTTTTTTTTCCCCCCAATCTCAAGCCACCTCCTTCATTAAAAATAAATAAATATATATTAAAAAAATCATATTCCTCTTTAGAAGAAGGGGCGAGAGGTGAAGTTTAGTTATATACCATGAAATATTGACTCAAAAGTATGCAGAAGTGTCTGTATTCAGAGTACTAAAAAAAACCCTTACTTTTATTATTATTATATATATTTTTTAAACCTGGAGTGTTATGGAGTTGCGGTTACTTTGTTGTGTTAACTACAGAAGCTGAGACTGTGCGGATGAATGGCACAGAACAAGAGAGCATAATGGAGGCAATCAACCGTTAGGCTGGTTCACAATGCAATCCAGGCAATTAAAAGCTCACCAGAGTTTAAATGAAATGGTTCTACTTATTTCTGTGCACCACACTGCACAGGCTATTATTTATGTCTCTTTTTTTAATTATGATTTCCCTTAAACTGTCAAATAACTCAGAATAGCGGGGTCTCGGAGGCGATAAGAATTTTCCACAGAACAATTTGCATGCCAATCTAAAACTAGTTACCACTCTTGATGCGCTGCATGCGAGCTCTGAAATGTTTCTTCCCTTCTGAAACCTTAACTTTTTTTTTTTTTTTTTTTTTTTTAAAGTCTGTGCGTATTGTCCTGAATAATTGGAGCACTGAGTGCCTATAGGATGGAGCTACAAAGTGGGAGAGCCTCTGAAAAGCACTCTCTTACTTTTTATTTCTTTTTTATCTTCCGCTGGATCTCCAGCTCTCTTGCTGACTGCACACTGTCCATCAGTCTGCTGTGTTCTAAAGACCACTGCACTGATATGTAATTTGCTCAAAACTGATTTCTTTTTTCTTTTTTCTTTTCTTTTTTTTTAAGTAGAGCAAGTTTTCCCTCTCTTGCTGTGCAACCCCTTGTCCTTGTTTCAACCGTGTGTGCTGCAGCGAAGGAGGAGTGAGTGGGCTTTAAAAGTTTGTGAGTGCTGTGGTGTGAGATACCATCCAGTACTGCCGTGGAGCATCCCCTGTGCCATGAACCTCAGCCGTCCTTGCAGCTTCTTGGTGCCTGCACACAGAGGCTGCTAACAGAGCTTGTTCTGTCAGAACTCCACACTCTGATTCCAGGAAAGGTGATCAGAGTGACATAAGTTCACGTCTCTGCCTTCTGTCAGGAGCCTGACTTAGCCTTTTCCAGCAATCTTTCCTCTTTATCCTGGAATTCATAGCTACAGATCCCTTGTCAGTGTTTCACTGTGCATTAACCACCACTGCCAGGGACAGGAGTCACTTGCATCCAACTTATCTGGAGAGACGGGGGGAGATCGAGGAGCTTACAGAATGGGTTAGGAAGTTCTCTCATCAAGAATTTGGATTGCCATTAGAAGTCTTATTCCTGGCAGTTTGAGTGCAGCGTTCTGAGGTTTGGTAAGGGGGAAAGAGAGAGAGGGATGCTGAGCAGGACCGGGAAAGTGAATTGGGCTGAAATAGAAGGGGTTTGCCTGACAGTGATGGGCACTGAAATGTCTCTGTACTGATTGCAGATCTGCTCCGGGATGCAGAGTGTGGACAGGAGTCCACCAAACTAAAGGGAAAACCAGGTTCAGTTTTTGCAGCCTGGGTGTAGCACTTTGGAGCCGTCCGTGTTTTGGGAGCTCTGCCTTCCTAGAGAGGGGGCAGCAGGGTGGCCAGGCAGCACGGTGTGCTCCTGGTATCACCTCAGGCTGCCCTGGGTGCTGTCAGCCTCAGAGCTCCTGTCTGTACTTGGGGATGGCCAGGTTGTGGGGCTGCAGCCTGTGGGAGCTGCAGGTACGCTGACTGATGCTCAGGGCAGCTATAAGCACACACGTTATTGGGAAGTGGCACTGTACTGGAGGTGGTCCGGGAGGTGATCTGCATTAGTCTGGATTACGCCTCACAGGAGAAGTAATCAAGTATTCCGTTCTCAAAATTAAGTGTTTTAATCCAAGTCTGTGAATAAAAGGGCATGTGCAGAGAATTCCGAGCTGCTTAAAGCACTTCTTGGGGCACTGCCTGTGTTTTGTTTTGACTCCAAAAATAAACTTTTTTTTTTTTTTAATAATGAAGCTGTAGTTTAATTTTAATTTTCATTAAAATAGAAGCAGCTTCATTGTAAGTAAAGTGTGAAAAAGATCAAATCTGTCTAAAAGGAAAAGCATGCCTTCCCTCCTATAGCTGCTGTAGACCAAATCCCAAATCCTTAATCTGGAGATGCTGCCAGCAGGATGTCAGGGCCACCTTCTCCTCGCCTCAAGCTCAGAAGTGTGGGGCTGTTAGCATGACCTCCGAGGGGCGTCTGCCCCTTCCCACTTCTCTCTGTAAAGGAGGGTTTGGGCTAACCAGCGTGACAGCGCTCTGTCTGCTTTCCGAATGTAGCAAGAGCCTCAAAACAGTGCCAGACTGTGTGCCACACAGTGCGTGCTGGGCTTGTATTTATAACACAATAATCTGGTGTTTGCAGCATTTTCCTTAAGAATTACCATGCTTGATTGCTGCAGCATGCTCAGATGCTGGCTTATTCAAGCCCTGTTGTTGTTTCATCTTGTTCCCCTTGTGGAGCGCAGGGCAGCCCATCAGCTGGGATCAGGGACGTGGCGTTCCTTATCAGCTGACAAAATTTTTACATCATGATTTTTTTCTTTAAAGCCCTTAACTGCATTAGCTGCTAGTTTATCCTGGCTTCCCTCAAGCTAAAGATTAAAGTCCCAGAGCAGTCCTCCTCTCTTCTGAACTTTTTCACTGAGTTCCACAAAGTTGCCAACTGCGGTTTGTTTCGCGTGCCTGTCCTCTGCGTGGTGGTAGAGGGGGTCAGGAGTAAGTGTGCTCTAAAGGGGTATTTATATATATGCAACTTCACAGATTAAGCCTTTTCACCAAGCAGATATATTGGCGATCCTATAAGACTGCTCTGTACCATTTGTCTGCTACAGGCGCTTTACAAAAGTCTCCGCTGTTTTCACTGTTCTTAGTCATTTCCTTGTAGTTGTGTTACGTTGCTGCTTCACTCCTGCACCCTGGGCTTAGGGGAGCTCTCTGGCAGCTGGATATGCTGCGGTGCTCACTCAGGATGAGCGCTGTGTGTTCTTTCCCAGCCCTGCCCAGCCACAGAGCCTGTGCAGGTCGCAGGCTCTCATCCTCCCATTTGGGAATGAGAAACAGACCTCACGAGTTGCTGAGCGGTGTAGGAGCATTGATTGGAGGGCAATGGGAAGGCAGCAATGCCATTTTGATACTTATGGATAGTAAAATAAAGACCTTGGATTATCTTGCTAGGAGGTACAGACATTCGGCAGCAGTATTGCCATGGTACTTTGAGGTGCTCGCTAGGAGAACTGGCTCTATAATTGAACAGCTAATTTATCAGACAAATATATTCATTCAAAATGCATGGTAGAGTGTGTTGCAAAGCTGGGAGCGGGGATGTTATATGTATGAATTACTATAGTAATAGTAAGAATTACTATTTCTAATTTGTTGACTAGCTTCACAGGTGAAAGTCATGAGTTCAACTTGATAAACCCTGCAAAGTCACATAGCTGGCTCTATACTTGCTGCGGTCCACGTACATTCAATGCGTTTCACGTACACGTATGGATCCCTGGGATGCCTCAGCTGGCACAGCGTTTAGCCTCTTGTCTTCACAGTGCTGATATTCATAAAGGCACGCTGTACCATCACTTCAAAGATTACACTCATTTTCATGTTTTCCTTACGAGACCTTTAAAAATGGGTAAAATAAAACACCAGCCGGTTCGTGTTCTCTCTAACTGAGACTGCCTTTCTGAGGTAGTGTGCTGCGGCACCGACGGAGATGCGCTGATAGAAGCTGGGGCTGCAAAGCGTTCCTAAGAGCAGTAGTGTAGTGTTCTTGATGAGGAGCTCTTGAATTTGCTGTTCTTTGTTACGAGACTATTTGACCTTTCCCAGTCTCTGAGTTAAGAACGGGGTGCCGTGCCCTGAACTTGGGAGAAGGATTCTTTCAGCAAAAGCATTTATTCTTGTCTTACAAAATTCTCGTTGTGATGCTCAGATGCACTCTAATGAGTAGCAATTTTTTTTTTTTTAGTTGCATCTCCGATTGGCTTAAAACAGCGAGATAACCTAGTAATCGAACTGTGTGTCTGTTTTCTTTCCTCTCTGATGCTTGTTTGATGTACAGCAAAGCATCTACAAGGCTATGATTTTGCTTCTTCTAAGAAATGACTTTCAGAGGATCAGTGTGAGTGTAATCGGCTGGCAGTTCATGAGACCAGCCAAGAGAGACCAGTCTGTAAGCACTTTGGGGCAGTGACCTCCTCTCCCCATTTACAGCAAAACTGAGGGCCATCGATTTTTTTGTATGGATCTCTAGAAGGCAGCTGTGGTGCTCCACATGCCATTGCTCAACTGTATTCCACTTTTGCCCATTCTGTCCCTTAAACAGTGGTTCAAGGGTTTGAACTGTTATTTCTGCTCCCTGCTATTGCATTCAAAGGTATACATAATTAATGGATACCACTAGACTCCTTTTCCCAAACTATCTGTTTGGCTAAAATTGGGATTAGAGAATAGGGCAGAGATTTTGTATCATTATTATTATTTTTTGTGAAAAACTAGTAACTGTCTGACCTTGTGCAGCTTATTTAAGGTCAGATTTTTCAGCAGGTCCTTAGACTGAAGGATGCAATGAGAGATAGTGGTACTGAAGTCTCTATGAATCTGATTGCTTCATTCATGTGCCTAAGAACAGAAATCTTAAAAAGCAAAACTCCTACTGCAAAAATATATGGGCCAAACCTCCCTGTAACTCTGCTCCCGTACCTTTGATAGCTTCAGTCTTTCCATCTCTAGAATCTAGAGTGTTCATATGTTTTATAGATAGTGCAAATTAGTCCAGACACACAACTTCAGGTATATTTGCTATTGCACATAGGCTGTTTGATTACATTTTTGAATGCTAAACATTGAGAATGTTGGGCAAAAGTGACTCTTTAACAGGACTGTTTTAATTTTTCACTGTAATTTTTCAATCATATTCCTTTTCAGCAAAGAGACCGGGTAAATGAGGTGGAACTCAGATCAGTGGAAGTTTCTGCTCTCAAGTTTATTTAATATTGTTTTCAGCTTGCTGTGGACTCGCCAGATTATGTCATCCTGTCTCTGCAGTTGCCTTTATAATGAACTGAGTGTGTGTGGGAGGGGAGAGGTGGAGGAAGAGAAGGCTGTGAGGCTTATTCTGGAGAGTATCTGTTTTCACCCTTCTCTCTTCTTGCTGTGTTTCAGGTATACAAATGCTCTCAGTCCAGCCAGACACCAAGCCGAAAGGTTGTGCTGGCTGCAACCGTAAGATTAAAGACCGGTATCTTCTAAAGGCCCTGGACAAATATTGGCATGAAGACTGCTTGAAATGTGCCTGCTGTGACTGTCGCCTGGGGGAGGTGGGCTCCACTCTGTACACCAAAGCCAACCTTATCCTTTGTCGCAGAGACTACCTGAGGTAGGTCGCACCTGTGTTGTGTTCCTTGAGAAACGCAGTGAGCCTGCTCAGTCCTTCCTGTGTAGGTAGTGGTGCGTATGCAGTGCTTGGAAGCTGCAGGACAAAGCATTTGTGGAGCATGAGGCAACCAGCTGCAGCAGAGAGGTGAAACTAAATTCAAAGGTAGTATCGCATGCTCTTGAGTTTTGTGATGCTTATGGTGAGGTGCTGCGCTGGGAGGGAGGTGAGAACAGAGTAACCCCTGGCTCAGCAAAGTGCTCCTGGAGAGCTGATCCTCCTAAAAGCAATGTAATGTTCAGCCTGAAAGAGCAGGGCGGCCTGAGTGGCCTGCAGCTGCTCAAGTGTGGGTTGCAATGCTGTGAGCGCTTGCTCCATTTGGCTGTGCGTATCCGCTTCTGCCCTTTGAGTTCACCAGAGGGATTGTGGTGGTGGTCGGAGCTTTAAGGAACGTTGCCATTTATCTGCTAGAAGCTGCACTGAGACAATCCACTCACCTTCCCTGTGCTAAATAACCCCATAGCCAATGGGCTCCAACCAGCCCACTGACCCGTGTGGGACCTGGGTGACCCAGCACTGCTTTTCAAAGGTGGCAGACCATCCTCTGGGTGATGCTTCTTGAATATGGCAAACCATCACCTGATTCTCTGCTTTCTTGTTTGCTTGTCAATCTTCTCAAAAACAATTGGGGTATAAATCGGCACAGTACCAGACTAGAGCGTGCATGTATAAATAGAGCTACTTGCAGAAGCTGAGGTTAATCGAGAAGTTTGGTCTCTCTGGGCTGTCAATAGTAAATAGAGAGAGAGAGGCTCCTCTGGGGTGATTCAGAGCACCTATTTCATAGAGGAGCACCTTCTGCCGTTCCCTGCAGAGGGGGTCTAGTGAGACTGGCTGCCCGAGGCAGGTGTGAACTTCTGGGAATATTTCCCCTGCTCCTGTAGCAAAGTCTTTTCCTTTTAAAGGGACATTCAAGTCTGTAATACATTGGGGAAAAATTAAAATTCTCTTTACGTGTGTTAACTTAAAAGTTCAGTGTAGGCACAGGTAGCAAATACGAAGTTTCCAGATTGTATGGCATGAGTAGGTTGGTACAGAAATCAGGATTAAAGTGTTAACAGCTCTTGGTACTCTGGCTCTCCGCATTACAACCTGTTTTTTCTAGAGTAGAGCAAAATTGTTTGCAAGTGTCTTAGGCGTTTGCTGAGCTGGAGCTGCAAAGCAGTTTAGTGTTCTTCAGACAGGGCCACTTGGATCTCTTAGTGGTAAAAGTGCTCTGCTACCCATTAAAGCTCCATGAGTTGAGCACAAGACGGAGTCTGCATCTTAAAAGCATTGTGTTAAAGCTGCCAAAAAAGTAGCTAAGAAAACCTTACTTTTAAAAATGAAGAGAAAACTGTTTCATGCAAGAAACAGAAGGGGATAATTGTACAGAAACCTAGGTTGCTTGTGATCTTAAATTGTGTTATAGAGAGAGAGTGGTACAAACAGCTTCTGGGGGCAAATTGGTGCTGAACCTAATATTTAAAACCTGTTTTAAGAATCTTTCTATAAGTGCCCGCAGGAGTAAGAAAACTCTACTGTGGCAATTTGATCCCCAGATTTACTGGTGGCTTTGAACTTACTCTCCCAAAGACTCACGCAACAGATCGAGTGTTTTAAAATCAAAACCAAAAGTGATTGAGTAGTAGGGATATGAACAAAACATTTCCACATTACACACGTGTGCATGCATCTCATTGCTCTCTGGTATTTAAAGGTCTATCAGGAATAAATATTTAGCAATCAGAATGTTAAAATTCATACTATGTGACTCAGAGAAAGGCGACTGTGATTTTTACACCGTGGTTTATCTGTCACAAATGCTTTCAAAACTGATTTTTTTGTTATTTATTCATCTGCAATATTCACGTTTGCACCAGTGAAACCAGCATACATGGCAGATCCTGTAGTCAGTCTAAAGATGTTTTGGATTTTGTTTCTGGATTTATCCAGAAGTCTTTGTGAAGTCTTAATGAAAGTCATAAGCCTTTCCTTAGTGATTCTTGTGAATGCACAGATTTAAACTTGGTATTTACTCTAAATTTCATACTGATGCACTTAAGGTAATTGCAGATAGTTTGCCTCATTGCGTCTTATATACTTGGTTATGCAGTGAACCTATAAAAGTGATCTTTTTAATGTTAATGTAGAAACTAGTTAAATGTTCTCTAGCTTTGTAGTCAAATAAGCTTACATATTTAGCAACTCACTTGATATCAATTTAAAGAAAAAATTACTTAGCAATAATGATCAGATTAGGGTTCGATTGCATTTTCAAGCTAGCCTCTTTTTTGTTGTTGTTGTTGTTGTTCTTTTTAACTATAAAGGAAGTGTTTGCTACATACAAAACTGTTCCAGCTTCCTATTAATTTATGTGGTGCCCTCTAGAGGATATGTGGCTTGTATGATATTATAAAGAGTAAAATTGCTTATTAACTTCTCTCTCTGTGTTCATTATGTATTTCAGTAAGACAACCATTCTACAGATACTATAGGCAATAATGTAGCCAATTTGTGTGCTTTGACATCCATGGTTAATTCAGAAACTATGTGATTGTGTCTTTGGCTATTTGCAAAAATGCTTCTAATATCTCTCACTTAGAAATGCCTGCCAAAAAATATTAAAGATTCTCTCCACTGTAATGCATGCTCTTGTTTGGCATTTGAGCCTTGAGATACCTACTCTGAGTCTTTTATAAGTACTCTCTATCGCCAAGACTTCAAATCTTGCTTTGTTTTAGCTCTCCCTTTTGTTAAAATAAGTTAATTTTATTATATTAAGACCTTACTCTCTAGGATAGAGGGGGTCATGGAGATGGAGGTAATGAGCTTGGAAGATGTTCTGGGTGTGAGAGGCTTTCCCCTGCAATCTGATTCAACTAAGTCACTCCAGTGATTTCAGAGGTGGCATGTGGCACCCAGGGTATTGGAGTGGTCACAGCAGGAATGAGCTCTGTTTTGTTAACGAAGATGAGAACTGACTTGAGTAAAGAATGGGCTCAATGTTAGGAATAACATACGTGGTGAAAATGATATGCAGAGTACAATTCCCCTGCAGGCTTCTGTCTCCTGCTTATACACTCCTGGGTTAGAAAGTGAAGACTTAATTTAAGGAACTTAGGTTTATGCCAGTATTTCAAGTCCATTTACAGTAAGTGAAATATGCGAGAAGTTGGCTTGGGGGGGGGGGGGGGGGGGGGGGGGGGGGGGGGGGGGGG